CATAGCTTTTCATTGCATAAATATCGGTGGTTTTTATGTACCCCAAATATGTTTCTTTTTCTCTGTCAAATAATCACAAGATAAGTGTACGTCAGTTACATATTATTTCCAGTACGTTATACACTTATACGTATATTGGCGATATGCGTACAAACATTATGTATATATATATTATATATGTTATGATACTAATAAAAAGTATAATATTTGTTTTTTATCAAAAACCCGTACCTACAGCATTACGCGTTGTGCAAATATTGAAAAAAATAAAATAAAGAATCAACAATACCCGTATACTATATACGGATACACTATTATACGAGAATGTAAAATTATATACGCACATACTATACCGAGTTTTGGGAATACTAAAACGATGAGTGTGAAAAAAATCAAAAAAATCGCTCATACCGTCGACGAAGGTATAATATATTATAATACTCTCGCATATCGGTACTTCCTCACTCTCCACGCCCACTCTATCATCCCATCTCCATGTAGGTACATATATTATAGATACACACTMGCATACACATACATACATACATACATGCATACATACATACATATATCTATGTATATATATTATAAGCCCCATTACAAAGTAGATATATGTTATATCGCACACCCGATCTACCGCGAATTGGTTTTTTTATTTATTTTTTACTACACAATAAATATATGTATATGGGAGAGTATTATAACAATATCGAAATACTGTTTACGTGTTGTAAACAGTGTTTGAGTGTAATGTTAAATTATAAATGTACATTGTGTATACCTAAGGTATGTTATAATGTATAACAATGTAGGCATATAATTATATCATAATATATAGATACAGGCATATCATACAAACGATGACAACAATAATATTTTTAATGCACGACACTATATTATTATTTATTATTTATTATCATTATTCGAAATTGTGCCATCAAGTCGATCGAATTGTGTAATTGGCACATGCGTAATGCATATTAATTAAAATATATTAAAGTTATAGTAAAATGTTTATCATTAATGAATTAACATTGTTATTGAACTATRGGTGGAGTTGAGCTATTATATTGTATTCAGTTATGTACTGCAATATGTTTCCGGCTATTATGAGAAATATAAACTATTAAAATCATTGCCTTTACTGTGTATTGTACGCAATTCAAAAAGTGGAAGTTTGAGTTAGAAGAAAAAGTTAGCTGTTTTATAATATTGTTTTAATTGCCACGAATAAAACAATTTATGTTTATTATTTCTATTTTATGTTATTGTATATTGTTAGTAAAAGTTAAATTATAAAGTTTAATKATATTAAAATATCATTAAGCTTTATAATATMTACTTTGTGGGTGTTTTAAAAATAATATGTTGCATGATCTATTAAAAGAAAAAAATGTTGTGCAATAACTAATATACATTTTTTACACGCCTATTTAAATTAAATTAATATTTAATGTTTAGCCCATTAAAAATAATTATAACAGTACC